GTTCACTGCTAATGGGGAAATATGATTGTAGGACAATACAGGAAAGCATTGTTTCTGAAGACTGTCTTTTGACCACATTTTGGGACTAGTTAAACAGTTTAGTATAAGTGTGTATGCATGCAAACATCCCTGGAGGGGACAATTCAGCTTTAGGATTTCAAACTCTAATTTTGGTTGCAAAATAATGTTAATTTTCTGAATTACATTGTCCACCTGTTTCACTTATGCCTCTTATTCTTATGAGTAAGTGGAGAATTTGTTAATTGTAGTAAACCGGTGTAAAGTTGCATCTGCAGCACCAGTTAGGATAATTTTCAGCACTTGTTAAATCTTTGTGCTCTATAACTGCCTAACAGGATGTCTGAAGTGGTTTTTTTCTACAGGTGTGTACTCACTGTGTGCATTCATGGTAACTCCTCTGATCTCAGGTTACACAGCCTAGATGAGATGCAGCTACTTCTAAAAGCACATCCACAGATTAAACTGTAGGATATTTCACACTTCTCTAGTTTAGACTGTAGAATTTACCAACGTTGGATAATGTGATGTTCTTCATTGTCCCAGTCCAGCTCTAACCATTGCAGGTCCCACCTCTTGGGACCCTCCAGAAAGTGTTTCAGTTTTACTATGTGCTTGCCTCTCTGTAGAGGAACAACTTTCATGTAAGGACCACAATATCTAATCCTTAGCCAGAAACGTTCTAAAAGGCCTTGAATCAATGTCTTTGTTCTATCCTCCTTTTTTTGTACTTTATACAGAAGTAATTGTACTTTACTTACCAGAAAATGCTAATGATGACAGTAGTCCAGGCCTTCTGACACCAGTGATCTCCAGCCTTTCTGATAATTAGAACATAGTTTGAGGTTGGAGCTGGGTTGATCTGCTACTTAACTGCTGTGGATAAAGGTGTTCCTCACCTGTGCACTTTGTGATGGCTTTGAGCCAGTACTGGTGCTTCTCTGGCCTTCTAGTACACTGGAGCAGGGAGCTAAGCTGGCAGAAGGTAGTTTCAAAACAGTTTTAAAAATATTGAACTTTTTTGGTAACTGTTTTTCTGGTAGTTCAACCTCTGAACAAATTCTTGAGCAGGTGCTAGGACTGCCAGTGCTGTGTCAGTGAAAGTTTTGGCATGGAAAACAGAATTTCCTCCCTTTGGTCACAGGTTTTCATGAGATCAGTGTAGTTGTAGATGGTCCTTGATGAATGTTAGGTGTCCTGAGTATTGTGGTTGATTTGATTTTCCCCCCCACCCCCTTCTGTTTTATTGGAAGGTCTCTTTTCCAGGAGTGTGTCTCTTACTGTTTGGCTCAGTGAAGGGTCTGAACTTGGCAGTTGTTGCCATCTTCAAGACTTGTCCAACTGTGTTTGTGATTGAAGGAGGCCTTCTAGGCAGTGGTTGTGTGGCTTGTGCATGTCCTATGCCTGCCTCCTTAAAATAAGACTTCCTTTTAAGTTCTTGGAACACACCGATTTTAGCAAATCCAGTGGACTGCTACCCTTGAACAGTTCCTTGGACATACTCTGCTTAAAAATGGTAACTAGCCTATGTGTTGATTTTTGGCAGTATAAAGTTGAAATATCTTTGTTCTATTGAGAATTATGTTTCTGGTGGAATGATAAAGAAATGAACTATTAAATATGGAGCAGAAACCACAATACTTCAGTCTAAAAAAAAAAATAGGGTAGAAAGTGCCATTTAAGAAAGAAAAAGCATTAAAGAATGAGTTAGCTGCTGCTTTTAAGGGATTAAGAATGACTTTGTTCTCTGGATGGAAGACCTTAGAAGCCTGCAGCACGACCACTGAAAACTAACAGTTTTAGGTTGTCTTTTGAGCTGTGGTCACCTTTTTAAAATTTATTTATTATTAAATGGAGAAGCTTTGGACTCAAGCAGCTGTTTTCATCTGCTGATCTCGATGGTGGCATAGCATTGAAGTTGTAACTAAACAGCATAGTACTGTTGATGCAGCAGGGTGGAAAATGCAGCTTTGGAGTTGGAAGTTAAAGAACAATACTCACTTTCTAATTCCTTTTTGAAATGCAGAGTTGCAACAGTAGGCTTCCCTTAGTGGTTTGGCAGACAATTAAAATAGTTTAGTTTCTGGCACTGCAAACTAATTTCCATACTATTTTGAGGGCTTTCATATCTCATTTGTGAATTACTGTAATGCTTTAGCAAAGTGTGTGTTAGCTTTAAAAGAGTAGGACATGCCTATGATGTCAGATGCTAGTGCTTGGTAAAAACTCTGACCCCGTGACTGACAGTGTTGCTGATTTTGTTAATGACCGTTCTCCTGGAGTAGTGTGGATTGATCCCAGCTGATAGTGATGTGTAGTTTCATTTGTCATTGGAACCACCTGTAGAACAGCTCCTGTCGGGTGTGTATCTAATGGCTCAAAGTCTAGGCCTAGATTTTACAGATTTCATGACAATGCAGTTATCAAACTCTTTCTTTTAATCCTGTTGCTCAGGCCTGAAATGTGAAAAAATAGCTAATTCTGGTAAAGTCTTGGAAATTTTTAAAAATTTAGAATAGTGGTAAGGGGAAAACAAAAGGCCAGGCTGGATGAGGCTTTGAGCAACCTGGTCTAGTGGAAGGTGTCCCTGCTGATGGCAGGGGGGTTGGAACTGGATGATCTTTAAGGTCCCTTCCAACCCAAACCATTCCATGATTCTATAAGGCATTCTTCTCAGTGGTGGCAACTTTTTCTAAAATCTTCAACGTACACATTTTGTCTGCATGAGTCAGTTGACTGTTTTGTTGATGATTGAAACCAGATTTTGGGTTCATGAAGTTGAATAGCAAAACATGCACCTATTCTAAAACTTGTCCTTAACAGGAAAACTCTTGTCCGGTTTGAAATGTGTAATCCCTGATGTGCTCAGATCAGTCATCATGTCAAAGCTGTGTTGAAGTAGAACTATTAGTAATGTTCATCTAGTTCATGGTGCCAGATCCTCTGTGCATGCCTTTTCTTTAAGTCAGATTTTTTTTGTACAGAATGGTTTTAGATACGTGTATTGTGATGAAAAGTCACTTGGAAAGCTGTTGTTTTAATGTCTTCAGTAATTGATAGATTAATAGTGAGGAGCAGCGAGAGCTAGGTGGCAAAATAAAACTCTAGGCGGTATAGCTTGTTATAGTGTGGGTTTTTTTGTTTTGGTCGTTTTTGGGGAGTTTTTGGTTGGGGTTTTTTGTTTTGTTTTGGGTTTTTTTGCAGTGGAGCTGAAAACTGCAGTAATTTAAAAACATTAGTAGAAGAAGCACAACAAAATGTGTGATTTAAATGTAATCTGTGCCCCTAGTTGACAAATTTTAATTTAAGCAAAAAAAGCAAAAGCAGTAAACCAGAATTTATTTAGTTTTGTAATCCATAGCATCTATGTGTGCTATAAAAGCACAGTAGTCCAAACTCAAGTGCATCCTACTATGTTGGTGAATAAAGTTTTAAGTTTCAGTCTTGTGAGATTCTGCAGGGAAAACTTTGCTAAGCTCTGGTGTGGCGTTTCACTTTCAAATGCTGTGCAAGGGAATTCCTGTGTTGAAGTGGTTCACCTAAGTAAACTAAGGCACCTCTGAACTTTTACATACAGTGAAAGTGATGTATCCAAGCTTTCTGTGCAATTCTAGCAAACTTGGCATTAAAATCAGTTCATGCTTGGAAAGCTCTACCTGTTCTTGGAGTTCACTTTTTATTAATAAAGTGTTAGTCCAGTGGGATGGAGGACTGTCTTGTTTGTGTTTTGTCTTGCCATCCTATACATTTGACCGAGTCAGTAAGAATACATCTACCAACTTTGGAGTTGTTGGGTATGATCTGAAAACGCATAATGGGTAGAAATGCATTTCAGTGAGGAAGCTCTACAGCAGCACCTGTAACTACCTGTTGCAGTACGTGCCAGGGTCTGACAGTACTGGATGCCAGCTTTGCATCTTCAGCCTAATCCAGTGTTGTGCAGTGCTACCAACGCAGTGTTTCTCAAAATTTCTTGCAGCCTTTAGGAAGCTGATGGATCTGGTGCAAATCACAACAATCCTCTTAATTGTACACTTGAATTCTTAGTCTGCTTTCACTTTCCTTTATTGAAATAGCTTAAGTGTAAAGCCGTTTTGTACATCTGAAATACCCTCTTGCAGAATTGATACAAAGGTGGATTTTTTCCCCCCTACATAGCACACAAGTCAAGAGGAACGCACAACTGACACATGCATATGTGTTCCTTAGAGGTGTTTCTTTTTAAAAACGTGAAGAATCTGAATTCAAAAGTATTTATTACTGCATTCACGATATCTGGCACAGTTGCAAATAAATTCCTAACTCTTCTGCAGGTATTAAAAAATATGTTGTCGGCCTAATTATCAAGACCTCATCTGATCCAACATGTGTGGAAGTAAGTGAATTCTTTTCAGGGGAGGAAGAGGGAGGGGAGTATTATGCATAACCTGACTCTCTTTTCTCTTTTCCAGAAAGAGAAAGTATATATTGGGAAACTGAATATGATTCTCGTTCAGGTAAACTGGAGTTCATAAAGTTTTAAATCTTGTTATAAAGTCTTTGGTTTTGCATATGTATCTAACTTATGGATGCTTCACTTTTCAGATACTGAAACAGGAATGGCCAAAGCACTGGCCAACTTTTATAAGTGATATCGTGGGAGCAAGCAGGACTAGTGAAAGCCTTTGTCAGAACAATATGGTGATTCTTAAACTATTGAGTGAAGAAGTGTTTGATTTTTCCAGTGGACAGATTACTCAAGTAAAAGCTAAGCATTTGAAAGACAGGCAAGTATATATATATATATTTAAATCTTCATAAATAGAGTGGGCTTTGTTCTTGCTGCTGAACAGTTGCTCTCACTTTGAGCTTTTGAGTGAACACCTACAGCTGTCTGATTTCTGAGATACAGATTTTTGTTTAAAGCAGTACTGTTGAGTGGTAACTAAACTTTGCACACGCAGATATTCCACCGTACTGCAAGTGGCATCTATCGACTGATGGTCCTGCCTTTTTAACAGCATTCAGCATTGCTTGCATTTCCAAGACAGAATTTGCAGGCACAGACTTTAAACTACTTCAAAATATGCATTATTACCATGAAAACTGGTAAAAGCCAGGTGGCTGGTGAATACTTCCCTGGACATAGGTCTTCAGGACTTGTTCTGAAAGTGTAGAGGTTTTGATTAAAGTAGATAGGATTGCTTATGCAATGTGGAAATGCTTAATTTTTAATTATTTTTTTTTACAGCATGTGCAATGAATTCTCTCAGATATTTCAGCTGTGTCAGTTTGTAATGGTAAGTCTTATTTCTTTAATGATATTTTTAAAAATTCCCTCCATCATGCCTAACAGTATAATAAACACTAATGGTCACTTACAGGAAAACTCCCAAAATGCTCCCTTAGTTCATGCAACTTTGGAAACATTGCTACGATTTCTGAACTGGATTCCTCTGGGATATATATTTGAGACCAAGTTAATCAGCACACTAATATACAAGGTACTCATGCAAAAATTGACGGCTCTTAAATTTAAATAAAAGTTGCAAAAAAGCTTAGCGTGCAAACGTGTAATACTCTTTATTTTTTTTTTCCTTCTCTCAATAGTTCTTAAATGTTCCCATGTTTCGAAATGTCTCTTTGAAGTGCCTCACAGAGATTGCAGGTGTCAGTGTAAGCCAGTATGAAGAACAGTTTGTAACACTTTTTACATTGACCATGATGCAGTTAAAACAGGTAATTGTTTTAGTAAATCTGTCTCTTGACTGTTTCATTTTGCAGAATCAATTTCTGTAGATCCTAGTTCAGTTCACAAATTTATATTCATTACGGTGCTCTTGATAAGACAAATACTATTATTCAGTGATATTTATGTCTTGATCAGAAGATGCTAAGTGTATTTTTCTGACTCTGGATCACAGCAGCTGCATTGATTTGTTTTGATTAATTTAAGAGACTTTTTGAGCACTTGGGCTGTCTGATGGGGAGAATTGAGAGGGGTGCAACAAAACATGTACTGCATGGCTTGTAAGAACTAAATTGACCTAACTTCTGCAAGTTGCTGTTTAATTTTTGAAACTGATAGAAATTTTTGTCATATAAAGCCATGCTTTGATGATTCCCCTCTGAGCTTTAGGTACATGAGTTTGTAGCATTCCTCATTGAATTTGCATCTTAACTGAATAGTTGCAATTTTTTTGACAATTTTTTCCTCTTTGCAATGTTAGTCCATCTTAGAGGTTCTTTCTTGTAACACCCCCGTTCCCCCCAGCTTCAAGTGGAGCTATAGGATTTTTTTATTTAGTTGTAGCTAAATTGAAAGGCAGATATTTTTGCGCTTTGTGTATTAGGCAGCTGAACATTATTCCTCAGTTTTTACAGATGATGCTCTTGATTCTAAATGCCAATATCTCTGGCCTAAGTTTTTCCTCAAAACATCAGTCAAATGCAAAGTTGGGTATTTGGCATGTTTTGCAACCTGAAGGTTTTTAGCATGACTGTTGCATGTGAATTTGATGCAATTTGTTGTATTTATTGCAAATATTTGACTCTCTCTTAACTTTGTAAAATGAAGTTTGTGAACAATCAAAACCACACAAAAGCTGGCAGCAGCAAAAGTGTTAAACTTTCTCTCTGTTATATAGCTTAATAGTGTAGACTTTAAACAATGTAGTTCACTACTTGATGACAATGTTGAAAATGTTTTATTTGGATAATGATAGAATTTAAAAGCTAATGCATCTCTTAAGAGGTGCCAGAGATCTCGACAAGATTACTAGAAAACATGTTCCAGTATCCTTCAGAGTGTTCCTTGCTAATTTCTGAATGATAATGGAGGAGGTCTTTCATGTTGTCTTAAGGTTATGATGACGTAATGTTTTGAAACTTAATGTTACTAGGGACAGGTAACAAACATTTTCAGAAAGTTTGTGATAGAGTACATACTTTTCTTATTTACAGCTGCTGTTACAAGGAGTGGAAAATGGTTTAGTTTATCACAACTTTTTGTATCTGTTTGCATTTTCACCTTACTGACCATCTTGGGGTCAAGCATGAAATGAAGGAGCTGTAATTTTTTTTGTGAGAGAGCTCTATAAAGAGGGGATGCCATGAAAAGCAGAGGGCTTTTCTGCCAAAAGAGTGCAATATTTAATATACAGTAGTTCTATTTCTGTATAAAATGGAAAATTCTTGATTATTCTGTATTCTTTTTATTAGATGCTTCCTTTAAATACCAATATCCGACTTGCTTACTCAAATGGAAAAGATGATGAACAGAACTTCATTCAGAATCTCAGTTTGTTTCTCTGCACGTTCCTCAAGGAGCATGGTCAGCTTATAGAAAAAAGATTAAATCTACGGGAAACGTTAATGGAGGTAAGTTGCTCAGTATCTGGTTTCAAAATGTAGCGAGTGTGTAATAGTAAGAAGTGCAAGATAGTAGTACAATTTCTATATCATTGTAATTACAGTGGGTAAGAGAAAAAATATTCCTATTTCCTTCACATAATTAGTAAATCACATGAATAATACAAAAAAACCCTTTCAAAACTTATATTTCATAGTATGCTTCAGTGGCACTCTATTTTCAGTGATCTTATACTAATATAATGTCTGGAGACCATAAGCCTCTGTCTTTTCTTATTTGTTCCTCCTTGAAAGTGTTAAATACTACTTTAAAATAAATTCATATGTTCTTTTTCCATGTGTCTTTCCATATGGTATTTTGTGTTTAACTCTCATAGAGAAGGTGCTGCTCTGACTTTCATCAGTCTGTGTGAAGCAACTCAGTTATGTTTGTATTTATTTTATTAAACCAGCATCCATAGCTGGTTTCTAGGGTAGAGCACATACTCTAGTCCAGTGCTTCCATCCTGGTGTAGCTTCCTGCCTAATTTGTCATTTCCCAAAGTTTAACTGCAAGGCTTTAAATATAATTCTCAAGGGTGATACTCTGTTTCTATGTCATAAAGAATATGTGTTCCAGTAACACTTAATGGCAGAGCTCTACCTCATGGCTGCGCATGCTGTATTGGAGTATTACTGGTCTTGGAGGAGAAGCTACAGGCCTCAGTTGTCAGATATCTTAATAGCAGTTGCTGAGAATAAGATTTACAGTTGTTCCCTTCTTTTTTCTTAGAGACTTCTGCATTCTTTTAAATTTTGACAGTAAAGTGCAACTTCACTGTCAAAACCAGTGAGATCCGTGGAAATTGTTGGAAATTTAGCTAAGAATGAAGGGTTGGAAAGGCTTAAATTCTAGGTGACTATCAAACACTCAAGGTACTACCTCATACTGAGCTGGGGCTAGATCACAAAATTAGGATTTTTCAGTTGTGGGTTTTATTTTTTTAATTGTGAATCAAAATTTTGCTGAGGGTGAGCTGTTCTATGGTGACTTTTTTGCTAGTTCCCTCCCAGTGCTGAGCTCCAAGGGGATGAAACTGTCTCCATAGCCCCTTGAAGCACCACTTCCTGTGCCCAGAATCAAGCCCTGTGCAGGTACGGAGGCGATAGGGTGAGGAACTGCCCCGAGACAGAGGCAGAAAAAGAATACTGCAGTTTAAACCTGGAGAGCAGGTTCCTTTGGGAGGGGGAAGTACATTTTGCAAGTGGATGAGCTGTAATCTAACGTGTCCATCTGAATTCTAGTCTATTTTCCAGCTATTGTTCTCAATACATTTCTTGTGGAGGTAGCCCTCTGCAAAAAGTTTATTAATAAGTTGGTTTTAAACACCAAATTGTAGCTCGTTTAGAGGGTGGACTAAGAGGAGTATCACTTTTTTTATTTTATAAAGAACAACTATCAACAGTTCCCAAAAAATTCCTGAACTTGCAAGTAGTAAGCTTTCAAAATAACTGTGAATTGGGAGAGCACAGCTCAAGTTTTTACCTTATGTTGAGGCTTTATTAGGAAGAGCTGAGTAAATGGCTGAAACTGTTGCACATCCTGTGTGTAAGTTGGAGTGCAGTTTTCAGGTACTGGCGTCCTCTCTTGTCCGGTGTAACCGTGTGAAATTCTTTAAGATCTATAAAATTCGATTCTGAATGACTTTGAGTGTTGTATAGGATGTTGAAATGTTTCACAGAGTTCTTAGGCTGGCCTAAAGTGGTGGCAAATTTCACTTCTGTGAGTTGCAGTGTAATAGAATGTAGTTCTACAGTTACTTTAAAAACTTCTATGTTATTTTAACCTATTTGTTCTCGCACTTTGGATATATCAGATCTTCTGAGATGGTTCCATGGATTCATTGGAGTTGTGTAGACTAGTGAAGGAAGCTACACAAGTTATTTATTGCAAGTGAAATTACCAAGAAAAATTGATGTGTATAAAGCTAATGTATAGTTGTTTTGCGTCCTTCTTTTGACATTGTAGATATGGATGCTGAATAATGTCGTTGCTATCTGAAATGCTTTGGGTTGCTGTAGTACCTAAGCTATGAAATGTCTTCAGATTTCATTATTTCAGTCCCGTTTGTTCACTGGTGGGCTATTGCTTTTGTTATCTTTCACCAGAGGACTGAAAAACAAGCTAGGCAAAAAATATTTGGCTTTGTGGTTGTGATTTCTGTGATTTTTATCTCAAGTCTGTCAGAATCTCATCCGTGGCCTTCCTTTCTCAGTCTGCTGTGGCTGTTCTGTCACTAAAGAAAAGGAAAATGTTCTGGTAGATGGCTTCTGTGGAAAGCAAGTGAGCAGTATGGCTTTGGTGGTTGTCTTTGGTTTCTTGGGGTATAAGGATGCAGAACAAAGTAGCAGCAATAGTTGTGAGAACAGCAGTCAATGAAACTAGCTGCTCAGGGCTTTTTGAGGCCCTAAAACAAAATGCCTTGCAGAAGCTCCAGAGGCTGAGAGTTTGATCATTTACAAACAGGCCTACTTGGCTAGGGCCTTTTTAAGTTGTCTTTAGGCTACTTTAGATTTAAGAATTGATACACACTTGGAAAATAACAGTAATTGACAGAGCGCTTTATTTTTTAATTGCTCTACTGGTCAGAAGTCTTGAGTTGTATGTAATGTCATTGCAATGTTAATGCCTCTTGTTCTTAACCTTTTATGTTAATTTGGCATTTTTATCGGTATTTGGATAAGCAAACTTGAAGCAATGTTGCTTTATCTGCAGAAGTAATTAGTAAGCAGATGTTTAAACTACATTTTTCCAGGCTCTTCATTATATGTTACTGGTATCAGAAGTTGAAGAAACTGAAATTTTCAAGATTTGTCTTGAATATTGGAATCATTTAGCTGCTGAGCTCTACAGGGAAAGTCCATTTTCAACATCTGCTTCTCCATTGCTTTCGGGAAGTCAACACTTTGATGTTCCTCCAAGGAGACAGCTTTATTTGCCTGTATTGTCCAAGGTAATCCATGCTTAAGTCAAAGTACTGATAGTAGAGATTTTAGATACTGTCCCTGAATTTAGAGATTTTGCTTCGTCTAGGGAATGACAAAACATTTCTTGCTTTGAGTAGTTGGTAATTGATTCAACTCTAGTTATTTAATGTGCTGCGATTACAACAGTACTTCAAGATGATACCAGTAGATGACAGGAGTATTAATATGGTGCTTCAGTTTTTTTAAGATACTTACTACAAATGTAAGACTAATGTTTGGGAAAAAAAAAAAAAAAAGGATTAAAACTGTTTCTTTAAACAGATAAAGGCAGAGGGGGAAAAAAAAAAAAGTGTGTGTCTAGGAAAAAGTAGTCTTTAAAAGACCCCTAATACTATATACACATTTTGAAGCTCTAGAAAGTATACTTCATGTGTTGGATTTTTTAACTACTTAGCTTGTTTGTGAAGACAGAGAAATCAGCAGGCTCTATTATTAATGGCTTTTTAGTTAACGTGCCTCTGTGGAATCTTAATGTGAGCTAATCTCACCACGTGCTTTGTATGGGTCAGACTGCCTGACCAGAGTGCTCTGGGAACACCTGTGCAGCGAGCTATGTCTGTATTTTCATGTTACAGTTTAATTCAGTTTTAACTTCCCTTTGCACTGTACAGGTTCGATTGCTGATGGTTAGCCGTATGGCTAAACCTGAAGAAGTCCTAGTTGTGGAAAATGATCAAGGGGAAGTAGTACGAGAATTCATGAAGGATACAGATTCCATAAACTTGTATAAAAATATGAGGGAAACGTTGGGTAAGTGTACTAGCTGGTACTTGTGCTCTAGGTCTGTGCAGCTGCATCAGTGGCGTGTGTGTTACACAGTGTTTGGTTGTGATCTGAATTGTGTATGGGTAAAATGATGATCACTGAGGAGCAGAACACAGACTTGGAAAGGGAGGAGGCAGTGTTGGTCTGAAGTTTTCTGTTTTAAGCATGCAGTGTTGTAGAACTTGCTTAAGTACTATCACACAACTTAATTTTTGTCTCGAATTTTCTCATTGAACATCACATTTGATAATCCTTTACCAAAATGTTTCAGATCCAATGAAACTATAGGTTTTTTTGGAAAGCTGTTAAGTTGGAAGGTTTTTTCCCTAAAGTTAACTTGCTGATTATTACTTCACTTGTAGTTGTACTCTTGTATAGGCCAAGCACTCAGCAAAAATGATTTCTGACTCAATAGGTCTTCCAAATACTTTTTTTTTTTTTAATAGTATTCTTAACCACAAAATTCCAGCCTGAACTTAAGCTTCAAAAATCTTCTCCAAAGTTAGAGCTAAGGTCTTATAATGACTTTGCTGGAAAGTACAAAAGCTGTGATTAATTACATATCATGTAGGAGAGAAAAAAAAAAAAAGGTCAAAAGCTGTGAGTGTACTGAAATACTCCAGAATCAATATTTCTACAGCATTTAATGTAGCAAGTATATTTTATTATAGTGTGTGTATACTAGCGTACTGTTATCTTCAGCTGTCTTGCATTCAACTGTCACCATTTTATCAGTAAATTTATAGTCCCTATATATTGTAGGGATAACTTAGGTTTTTGAGACAGGAAAAAAATTTAGAATTGTTGCATATTTAGGACACAAGACCTCCAATACTGAATATTTTTCTAACAAGTGCTTTAAGGGAACACTGAGTGTTTAATAGCAGGTGTATGAACTAGGAGTGGGGGCAGAAAAGCTGTGATGCTGTGATGTCTGTACAGCCAACACTAGATTAATTGGTTTATTTTTTATATGGAACATGAAAAAAATTATTTTTGTTGATTTATTGTATTAAAATTATTACTGTATATCCAGAGCCTTAGTCATATTTCCAGATACAGGATTATTTATATGGAAATGCAGATTTAGGTAGCTTGTTTGATTTCTGATGTTAACTTTTGCTTATAGTGTATTATCTTTAAGATTCACTTTAAAAAAAAAAAAGAAAAGTGAGAATGTGGTTGAAGCTGTATTCTGTGACACAGGAAGAATCTATTTCTGAATCTGGCCTTAAATTGCTTTTGACTTGCTAGGATTTAGAATTTTACATGAGAGACACTAATTCTGTTAGGGACTGATGCAAGTGTCTGAGGTGTGATAATTGAATCTTCCTATCTAGACTTTTTTTTAGGCGTACCATCTCCACTTTAAAGGTGGGTTATTGCAACCAGCAGATTTAATGACACTGAAATAAAGAGCAGAAGAAAATTGATTGACTTATTAAAGACTATAATGTCCCTATAGGTAGCCAATCCCATATTCCCTATAGACCATTTGTATGTATACCTCTTGTTAATAACTTAACTTAGCAATTTTACTGATTTGACTGGTATGTGAGACATTAATTGATCTAGACTTTTCAGATTGCTTGCATACAGTGTTCTGCTGAGATCCCTTGGAGCAAACATAGATTCTCAGTGAAATTGATTGTCCATCTTTTAAAATACAGCTTTTATTTTATTTTTTTTTAATTAATTAATTATTTAAATTTTTGGCTCGTTCTGTCATCAGTTCAGGAAAGAAGGATTGCACTTACCTAACAATTTGGTTGTCTTTTCCTTAGAACAGAAGAATTTAACTCTGCCTATGCAGTTGTGATCCAGATTGTTGCTTTAAAATGTGCCTGTTCAATGTTGATGTCTTTCAGTTTACCTTACGCATCTGGATTATGCAGACACAGAACGAATTATGACTGAAAAACTTCACAATCAAGTGAATGGAACAGAATGGTCCTGGAAAAATTTGAATACCCTGTGTTGGGCTATAGGCTCAATCAGTGGAGCAATGCATGAAGAAGATGAAAAAAGATTCCTTGTTACAGTAATTAAGGTATCATGGTGCAAAACCAATAGCTTTGTCAGGCTTCATAGTTTATGCTCAAGAAACTAAGTTTACAAAACTACTGCTGGATGTTCTTAGTAAGCTACCTTGTACGGCAAGCGAGTTTATGAGAAAAAATGAATGGAAAATCTTGTATCCTGAATTTAAGGCTAATAAATTTGTTAGCCATGAACAATGCATTAATCCAAATAGTCTTTTCATGGTTAAAATCTCAGGAATAAAATTTAGTTTATGATGAAGTGTTTTTCTTTGCCAATGCGGAAGAGTTAGAAAGGGATTGCTTATGAAATAAAGGAGAGTGGCAAAATAACCCACACTTTTATCTAGCTAGCACCCTGCTGTTTTGCTGTTTTCATTGATGAATATGAGCTTTTGATAAATACATGCATGGAAGGAGTGCAGGAACAAACCATTTTTACAAGAGTAATGGACCTTACGTTAACAAGTCATACAAATTCATACAGAAGATTTAGTTTGATTTCTTCTATTTGATGTGGAGCCTATATTTTTATTGATACCAGCTGCTTGGTCAGTATTCAATACTATGAGACTTGTTGCAGTCCCTCCTGCAGGAATCTTTAGTTATCTTTAAAATTAAGATTTCATAGTTGAAAACACGCTGTTCATGGTTTGGCTGAAACTTCAATACTTCCATCACCCCAATCTTAACCCACTTGGGGGTTTTTTGGGTGTTGTTGGGGGTTGGTTTTTATTTATTTATAAATTTGGACTTTGAACTTGATTATGGCAACCACTTTCCTTTATCTTTAGTATAGCTTCTTTTAGGATTCCATGTTTATAATGCTTTTAATTGGACTGGACAAACTTGGAGAGGAAAATAAAAAATCTGTTTATGTTGTAGGATCTCCTGGGACTCTGTGAACAGAAGCGAGGGAAAGACAATAAAGCCATTATTGCATCAAATATAATGTACATAGTAGGTCAATACCCGCGGTTTTTGAGAGCTCACTGGAAATTTTTGAAGACAGTAGTCAACAAGCTGTTTGAATTTATGCATGGTAATTACTGTTTTTTCACTTGCTGTTTTAATTATTCAAAAACAAACCAAAACAAAAACCCAACCTGATGCCTATACATGTACATGTACAGGGGAAAATACAAAGCAATAACTGACTTGATTTAATTTAGAAACCCATGATGGCGTCCAGGATATGGCATGTGATACCTTCATAAAAATAGCACAAAAATGCCGCCGACACTTTGTTCAGGTTCAAGTGGGAGAGGTCATGCCATTTATCGATGAAATCTTGAACAATATTAATACAATCATCTGTGACCTTCAGCCACAACAGGTATGTGTAGTTCAGCGCTCTGGATAGTTCCTAAAGACTGATGAAAAGTTACTTCATAGTGAAAGATAGTAGTGGTTCTCAAGGCTTGAATTGTATTCCTTAAGTTTTTTGTTAGCATGATCAGGTTGCATTGCTTAGATCTCAATTAGAATGCTTGGAAGGAGAATTAAAGTGCAGTTAGTTGGAATTTTGTTTTCTGGAATGTTTTAACAAGTAAATAAGATACTGAATCTGACTTTGGTCTTGCTTTGGGAAAGAGTAATTTCCTACTATAATAGTATACCTACAGCTCTTGTATCTGTGAAGCAGGGGAAGAAACAATCCAAAAGCACCTATGTGTAGGAAGGCAGAGCTCATGAAGTGAGAGAGCAGTGTGGATGTGCAACATATGATGAAGTGTTGCAATAATTAATGTACTGAAACTTTGGGCAGAGTGGATCTGGAAAAAGGTACTTAAGAGTGATGTAATCCAGTCCACAGTTTAAACATGTCTGGTAATATTTAAGAGTTAAACAGCTTATGTCTGAGCTTCCTCACTTCAGGATATGCTAGCAAAAGGAAGAAAGACTCTGGGATGTATATAGTGGCATTTGTAAGGGAAGGGGATGGAGGTTTGTTTTATGCATGATGAAAGTGAGGAAAGAACAGAGAAGGATCTTGAGAAGTCAAGTGGGGGAAAAGGTATTTTGACAGTGAAACCCATTTTCAGCCTTCACTATGTTAGTTCAGAACAGTGTAAAATGTTTCTTGCTCCTTTTTAACCTTCCTGTTTGATGTCTTGCTGTTCCAATCAGGTGCATACGTTCTATGAAGCAGTAGGATACATGATAGGGGCACAGACAGACCAGACTGTGCAGGAGCACCTGATAGAAAAATACATGTTGCTCCCTAATCAAGTATGGGACAGCATAATTCAACAGGCAACAAAAGTAAGTTCGTAAATTTTAAATGTATTCTGTGTTCAGGTAAAAAAACCCCAAAACTGCTAAATATTTCTGTTACCCTGGGTTTATTTTTCACGTGGCATGACATTAAGTGTACTTAGCTCGGGTCGACTTTATTAAATGATGGCTAAAGCAGCGGTTGACATGACAGTAAAAGTGTTGTTTTGAGAGTGGAGACTTAAATGACAAAATAAATACTGTTTTAATCTGATCTAAAGGACACCTTTCTGTTACTGTACAGAATATGTTTCAGTAGTTTTTTTCCCAAAGCTCCCTTTCACCTGGTTCAGAAGTGAGGTTTTTTCGGAATAACTGGAAAGTTAAAATGCTAAAAATACTGTTTACTCTTCCTCCTTTCTCTTCCATCGTTCTCTTAAAGTACATCTTTATTCCTTTTATCTTGCATTTCTTTCAGTCTTTTCAAAATACTTTATCTCCACACATTAAAGAACAACAGTCTTGTACTGCACAAGAGATCAATCCACTTGGAGTTAATCTAATTAAGATCCTGAAACTTAAACAAACCTGAGATACTTTTCTTACTCTGGCTTTCCTCTTAAAACAAAACCAGACTGCCTTTCCCTTGGACCACTTCTGTCTGTTTTCACCTTCTGAATTCCTTCTTCTTAGCCCCTTTTCCCCCCTTTTTTCCCCCCTTTTTTCCC